GGACCATGATCAGTCAAGTTTTAATTTTGGCACTTCGCATTGAAACTTTCAGGGACCTCTGGTATATTGTATGAGCTTTTATTGCATGAGCAATTTTATTTTGGAGTTTGGGGTAACGCTTTACTTGAAGCCTTCGTGTATAATGCATTATAAAAGTATTCATAATATACATTGTAATGCATCTTTCCTTAAATAATTGTAACCAAAATTAAAATGCATTATAATATTTGGAGATCAGCTGTTTGTCATGTGTTTTAATGCATTGCACTTTCTAGTTGTAACAGTGAATAGATAAGTATTATAACTCCGGATACAGTAATAATAAATAAATCAACTGAATTAATTAATGCATTGGAATACTTTTGTAATGCATTATATATAAAGGCTGTACGTGTTACACTTACTAACTTGGCTCTAACTAACAATAACTGCATTGATATCAATTATGCATCAGGTTTCACGTGTGCTTCAGTCTGTTCTTCTAATGCACAGGACCGCTGCTTATGTAGAGCATTTCAAATGAGGTTTTATTGGAGTTTAAGGTGCTGGTTATGTAGCCGATAGACTGCTCAAAGAGCTGTAAGAGCGTCTCGCAGTCACCTCACCTGCTTAATTTGATTGCTCAGGTAAGATGAGATGCTGTAATGTCCACCTTCACAGAGACTCCATTAACCAGAAGCATTTAGCGTGAGCTTTTGACCGGAATAATTCATGTAACGCAATTATCGAGCTCTCGTGCCTGATCAGATTTGCTCCCTGCCGGTTAATAAAGTCGTTTCTCAGCAGCAGCAGCAGCAGTTTTGCATGTTTGCTTTGGCATTTAGTCATGATGTGCTCTTTTGTTCGGCTGTCGTTCGCTTCCTGCGAGGGACGTGTGATTTGTGTGTCTTCTGTCTTGTGAATGTTTCAGAGTCAGTTGAATAAGACAGAATAATGTCAGGCGACAGTAGAAATCACTCCTCATCATCATCATCACAGATCATTAGTGCTCTATTCTCCCCTTTTTAGTCCATTGCATGAATCTTTTGGTTTTAGTTTTCATTTCATGGATGCATTTCTATAGCATTTTACTTTTAGCTTAGGTTTTAGTTTGTAATTATACTCAACAATGTTTTGCTCAACCTTTATCTGAGTGCTTACGATCTAAAGAAGGTATTGCATGACACCGTGTACAATTTAAGTGCAACCATCAAAATGTATTGTCTTTTGCAAGTAAGCAACAGTTTTAAACAAGATACATTGCGTCCTTGTTAATTTTAACATTTGCTATCTGAGACGTCACACAAACACAGGTCAGGTTACTTTATTTTTGTATTTATTTTTGTTTAATTTAATTTAAGTTGTTTTGTTTTTCATTAAGTGTGGACTTTAAAAAATAAAAATAAAAAATGTCCCCAGTTATTTATTTCATTTTTTCAAAATTTTGAAACATCACGTTTCAACAAAAATATTAGGCAGCAAAAATGTTTTCAACATTTGATAATGAGAACCGTCATTAATAATTGAGCATTAATAATAATAATGGAACACCAAATCAGCATATTATACTGATTTCTGAAGATCATGTGACACTGAAGACTGCAGTAATGCTGCTGAAAATACAGCTTTGATCACAGAAATATATTACATTTTACTACATATTCAAATAGAAATCACTTATTTGAAATTCTAATAATATTTCACAATTTATACTTCATTTTGATCAAACAAATGAGCATAACAATTATAAATAAAAAAAAAACATGAAAAAATTAATTAATTATTCCAAACTTTTGACTGGTAGTTTTCCTAGTTTTAATATAAAATATTATCGCAGCTATTCAGTCACCTGTTGATGAATTTAACAATATGAAACACCCTTTTAAAGCTTCGGCCCGCTTGCACACATTATGCCGGTCATCAGTGTCTGCAGCACTCAAGACTTTGGGACGCTGGCCATCTATAGCAGCTGCTCGTGGCTGAAGTCAAGGCGATGCGTTTCCTGCATCCCATATGTTTTTCGCAGGGCTTGCCGTGTTCGCGCTCCTCTGAGTGATGGCACAAATCCCATTCATATTTTTATCTCAGCTCTCGCCTCACTGCCATCATCCAGCATTAACCTGGATAATTTGGTCATTGCTGCATGAATGCGTTTAATATTCATGCATTTGGTGGATGCATTTATCCAGAGAGATTTACAGTGCATTTGAGATATACCTTTATTATGGCCGGATGGTGTGACAGTGTTTACTTTGCAATGGTAGAAATGTCCATTTGTCCTGCTTACATTCACATACAGCTGAGACAGATTAGTAAACACAGAGTAATGTCAATGATGCAGATCCAAACGAGTCAAGATGTTGTTTAAGACAAGAAAAAAAGAAAAATGAAATTTTAGACTATTTCCATAATATGTTGTTGTTGTTTTAGACAAGTGAGGAAATAAAAACATCCAGAATATACATTTAGGTGTTTATTTTATTGCACTTTATCTATTTGCACCTGTAGATTCTTTAGAGGCCGCTTACATAAAACCATAAACCAGAATTTACAGTTTTATTCCTGTCTATCTTCTGAAGTCTTTTACTGAGGGGTTTGTTTATGTATAATTCAGTCTAATTTATGAAATATTTTATTCTTAAAAACATGATGAAAATGTATTTTTTCTAGCTGTTGACAGTGTTTTCTGATTTATAGAGGCATAAAAATAGAAATTTTAAGTTCTCTTTAAAAACCTTTAATTCTATGTCAACATAATCAAACAAGAAATTTGAACCTGCTTTGTCCAGTGTTGAAATTTATGCAAATTACTGCATAAATAACTACATATTTGATTAGATGGTCTAATTTGCAGTGTTATTTTAGTATGGAGATTTTTTTGAATTCATTTTGAATATTTTTCTGCATGTTTTTGTAATTTGTAGTAGTTGTTTACATATGTGTATATGTTTGAGTGTGTTTGTAATTTATATGGTTTTAGTTATTTTAGTTAAACTTTTTTAGTTAAAATGCTGTAATGTTTTTTTATGTTTTAGTTGTAGTTATTTTAGTTATCAAGTTCAACTAAATGAAAGTGACATGTTGTTTGGAAATTTGCTGAAATAAGTTAGTTTATTTTATTTCAGGTAACACATTTGTTTCATTTTTAGCTAACTATTTAAACAAAGCATTCGTGTGCTTGCAGAGGAATGTACACACTTACGATAATGAACGAGCAAAACTCCCGCGGCGAATAGAAAGGCTTACAGTTACACAAGTATGCATCTCATAAACCAATGCATAGTGTTTCCAGACAAGCTTTATTGCTATTATAAACAATACACTAATTAACTGGGATTGCTTCTGCTACATATAAGCAAAAATGAATGTCCAAACCATTCCAAAACTGGTGAAATATCGGGTGGTGTGTACTTCCGAATGTCCAGCAATTCGTCTCTGGTGAAACTGATTGCAGGGATATAACTAAAGACAGGACAAACTAACAAAAACATAAAAACAACTGCGGAGCGCGCCACGGAGGCAGCCATCAGCGTTGGCGCCATCGCGAAAATCTGTCATTGATATGACTGTCACAAACAATTTTGTTTCGATATATCATTCAACCGTACTTAGAAATATGAGAGCGTTCAGACAGTAAAGTCTGTGCCTTTGCATCTAGTTCTTCTCAGATGACGTGGCATGTTGAAGTGTGTGGTGACTCAACTGTACCAGCCGACAGTTTTGAATGATTACAGTGTGTAAATGGGTCATCAACATTTGCAGCAGTTTCTTCACTTGTAGCACTTTCTCCCATCAACCTTTTGTACTAGAAAGTCATTGTTCACCTCCCACTAAATTACGGTTCCCAGGAGCTTTGAGAACTGTGACAGCCGCAGCATAGATGTTCCCGTGGAGGCCGATCATTTCCACGGCTTTTATTGAGTTCAGTTCCACTGTGTTGTGTCTTAATGGAGAATGTCATACCTCACCTTTCAATATTGCTGTTATGAAAGAGGTCAATCAGAGTTGTGTAATCTGGAAACCTGAGGAAAACAAGTGCGTAAAGATGGAAATCGCAAGCTTTCTGAATACTGTATCATACATGCTGTATCATAAGTAAATTCAAATTCTAAAAAATGTCTAAGGCCTCTAAATTATCAACATCAATTATCTGCTGGACTGAAGCAGCTCGGCTTTACTTGATTCTCCATGAATCATTTTTAGGAAAATCAGTGAGTTGCAAATCTGATCATCAATCTCAATCATCAGCGGATTGCATTGCATTATGTTTTGAACATAAGAGATATAGTGATGACTGATTTATATAATCTTATGTAAGTAGCTGCTATACTGTCATAAGAATCTCTTTGATTTACATTAAATACAAAATAATTTAATCATTTGTTTCCATAAAAATATCAGCATCTGCACCGAATTGCATATTTTTGTTCAGTTTGAGTCTCTGAATAAATGTTTTCCTTCATATTCTCACTATGTCAGACTAGATGAGCCATAAAAGCCTGATGGTCTTGTTGAAATACAGCTGAGTATGGTCAGCATAACAATGGAAACTAATTCCATATTTTCTGATAAAATTACCAATGGGCAACATGTTTATTGAAAATAACGGAGGGCCTAAGACTGATCCTTGTGGTACGCCATACTTTAATGCCGTTAATTGAGATGATTCCCCATTTAAATAAATAAACTGGTAACGGTCGTGCAGGTAAGATCTAAATCATCTTAAAGCCTGTCCCTGAATGCCCGTATAGTTTCGTAATCCATCTATGAGTATGTCATGATCTATAGTGCTGAACACCACAACTGTAGTGTGGATCAAATAATGATACTCAACAAAAATACATACACAAACTTATATATATGTATCATAGAGAGAGAAGAGAAAGTAAACCATTCCATTTCAAAAATGATATTTTTCTTACCGCTATTTCATATGTCAGGCTATACAGGGTTTAAGCAGTCAGTTTTGAGTTCATGTTAACATTGAACTCATTTGATCTTTATCCTCCTCTGTCTTTCAGTCACCTTTCACAGTCAAGTTCTTTGGAGGAAGTGCGTGTTGATGTGGATAAGTTCGTCCCTCCTGCACCGCGAAAGGTGGAAATGAGACGCGACCCGGTGCTCGGCTTCGGCTTCGTGGCGGGCAGCGAGAAACCAGTGGTGGTTCGATCGGTTACTCCAGGTATCCCAGCTAACCGAGACTGGTTTTTCTGCATGTATTCATACAATTGAGTCATTTCATACAACATGAGTGTGACTAAGAAACCAGTCGGGAAGCACAAGTCTCTTCTGCTCGCCAAAGCTGCATTTTAACAGTCACAGAGTAAAAAAAATAAAAAAAAGTGTGAAATATTTTTACAGTTTAAAATAGCTCTTTTCTATGTGAATATATGTTAGAATGTAATTTATTACTGTGATCAAGCTGAATTTTTAGCATCATTACTCCAGTCTTCAGTGTCGCATGATCCTTCAGAAATATTGTCACTTTTGACCAATTTAATGCATCCTTGCTGAATAAAAGTATTAATGTCTTAAAAACAAACAAACAAACTGACGCTTACCCCAAAACTGTTGATTTATAGTGTGTAAAGATAAGAAAGGATCATGATAGAAAACTTAATGGCCAAATAAAAAGTGCATTATCATGGTGCATGATGCTCGTTGTTTTAGAAAAATACATATAATATGAACACAAATGTGATGTGAGTTTGTGATGAATGTGCAGGAGGGCCTTCAGAAGGGAAGCTGGTCCCAGGAGATGAGATAGTGATGATAAATGAGGAGGCCGTGAGTTCGGCTCCACGGGAACGAGTCATTGACCTGGTCAGGTACTGAGCTCCATCAACCAGTTACTGTGTCGCTCTTCATCTACTACATGTGTTTTTCAGCTGAAGCCATTACATGCTGACAGACCAGCAGTTTCTGTCTACAATAACCGTATATACTGTGGTCCCAAAATGAGTTTGAACACCCGAGTCAGATGTATGTCACTGTATTAGATCAGGGTTTTGCTAACTATCCCTGATTCCATCTTGAGAATTTCATATTCTTATTGTGTTTTTTTTTTCAATTATTTTTGTCAGAAGTTGTAAGGAGTCCATCATCCTGACTGTGGTGCAGCCGTACCCTGTAAGTCTACATATTGACTGTTTTGCATGTTAGTTTGTCAGTATTTTGGCTAATTTGAGGTTAAATTCTGCAGAACTCAATGTAGAAAACACTAATAAAATGTCTGCAGATCAGTGTTACTTTAGTTATTTTATTATCATTGATATACTATACTATACTACTGTATACTATATTATACTTTACTATATTTTTTGTTGATGTGTTGAATTTGTTTATTTTTATATTTTATGTTTTTACTTTAATTTTACTTAGTTTTAGTAATTTTGTTTAGGTTTTGTCCTTTGTATTATTTTTTTAATGTCTGTAGTTATTATTCATTTTTATTGATTAATTTCAATCATTTTAGTTCTTATTTTAGCTAGCTGTCCAAGGCACCATTTTCGTTTAGTTTAGTTTTTGCCATTTTTATTATTTTTTTTATTATTTTAATACTCAAATGTATTTTATTTTAGCTAGTTGCCAAGGCGCCATTTTTTTGTTTTGTTGTGTTTTTGTCACCTTTCATTAGTTTTAAATGTGTTTATATATTATGTTTATATATTTTTTATTAATTTGTATGTATTAGTTTTAATTATTTTCGTGTTTAAACTTATTTTATTTCAGTTATTTGCCAAGGCACCACTTTTGTTTAATTTTGTGTTTTTGCAATTTGTATTTTTTTTTATCTATATAGGTTTTATATTCACTTGTATTTATTAGTTTTACTTATTTTAATACTTATTTTATCTCAACTAATTGCCAAGGTACCATTTTTGTTTAGTTTTGTGTGTTTTGTATTTTGTTTTTGTTTATTTATATATATATATATATATATAGTTTTGTATATGTACACTGCTCAAAAAAATTAAACGGAACACTTTTTAATCACTGTATAGCATCAAGTCAGTTAAACTCCTGGGATATTGATCTGGTCATTTAAATAGCAGAGGGGGTTGTTAATCAGTTTCAGCTGCTTTGGTGTTAATGAAATTAACTACTGGTGCACTAGATGGGCAACAATGAGACGACCCCCAAAACAGGAATGTTTTTTCAGGTGGAGGCCACTGACATTTTTTTCCCTACTCATTTTTTCTGACAGTTTTTGACTAGTTTTGCATTTGGCTAGGGTCAGTGTCACTGCTGGTAGCATGAGGCGATACCTGGACCCTACAGAGATTGCACAGGCAGCCCATCAATATGTGCCATTGCCAGAAGGTTAGCTGTGTCTCCCAGCACAGTCTCAAGAGCATGGAGGATATTCCAGGAGACAGGTAGTTACTCTAGGAGAGCTGGACAGAGCCGTATAAGGTCCTTAACCCATCAGCAAGACCGGTATCTGCTCCTTTGTGCAAGAAGGAACAGGATAAGTACTGCCAGAGCCCAACAAAATGACCTCCAGCAGGCCACTGTTGTGAATGTCTCTGACCAAACAATCAGAAACAGACTTCATGAGAGCGGCCCGTGGAGCTCGATTGGCATTTGCCATTGAACAGCAGAATTGGCAGGTCCGCCACTGGCGCCCTGTTCTTTTCACAGATGCGAGCAGGTTCACCCTGAGCACAGACGTGAAAGGGTCTGGAGAAGCCATGGAGAACATTATGCTGCCCGTAACATCGTTCAGCATGACCGGTTTGGTGGTGGGTCAAGTGATGGTCTGGGGAGGCATATCCATGGAGGGACGCACAGACCTCTACAGGCTAGACAATGGCACCCTGACTGCCATTAGGTATCGGGATGAAATCCTTGCACTACGCTGGTGCAGTGGGTCCTGGGTTTCTCCTGGTGCACGACAATGCCCAGCCTCATGTGGCGAGAGTATGCAGGCAGTTCCTGGAGGATGAAGGAATTGATACCACTGAATGGCCCCGATGCTCGCCTGACCTAAATCCAGTCGAACACCTCTGGGACATTATGTTTCGGTCCATCCGACGCCGCCAGGTCGCACCTTGTGGAGCTCAGTGATGCCCTGGTCCAGATCTGTGAGGAAATACCCCAGGACACCATCCGTCGTCTCATTAGGAGCATGCCCCGATGTTGTCAGGCATGCATACAAGCACATGGGGGCCATACAAACTACTGAGTACCATTTAGAGTTGCTGCAATGAAATTTCAGCAGAATAGACTAGCCTGCTGCATCATTTGTTTCACTTAGATTTTCGGGGTGTCTTTGAATTCAGCCCTCTGTAGGTAAATAATTTTTTTTATTTCCATCAAACGATGTGACATCTTTTCGTTCCTTACACATTACCCAGTCCATATCAGTATAGATGTCCAGCATGATATTTTTCCCCATTGAGATCTGATGTGTTTTCAAAGTGTTCCTTTAATTTTAACACTTATATAATTTCAAGGAACAAAACAATTTATTTTGTATGGTTTTAGTTGATGTTAATAACCCTGCTGTGGATTCCATCTGGATCTGCTTATTAGTTTCTGGCTCAGCTCTTAGGCAGAAGATAATGACTTGATAGCATTGATATTCAGTAATTTTTCTGCTTTTGTTCCTCTGTTATTCCAATCCAGTCGCCCAAATCTGCCTTCATCAGTGCAGCTAAAAAGGCCAAGTTGAAATCCAATCCGGTCAAAGTGCGCTTTGCTGAAGAAGTCATTATTAACGGACAAGTACCTGTAAGTGAAAAATGACACATTTTGCTTAAAAAGCATGTCATGGGCTATATCAGAGTATTTACAGCCGATTTAACAGGTTTTTTAGGTTTAAAGATCAACCCATTTTACTTTCATAATCTGACATCTCCGAGAGAAACAAACCAGATATTCAGTGAGAAACACTGTAGGGTTTTGATTATAATCATCCGAGATTGATTGGATTGTGAAAAGTGGACGTTATGTACCAGAATAGAGTCATGTGATTAGAATAAGAGGATTGATGTCGTCAGCCGGAAAGTGATTTTAGCTCTGGAGCAAATTATTGCATTGTGATGAAATATTATGAAGATGCACGTCACATAAATCAGTGTTCATTCATACTGTGTGTCTTAATTAGTGGCACAACAAGAGGTTAAGGATTAAAAATATGCAGCCGCACGTGTTTTATGCTGATATCATCGCAGGGATGTGAATCACTGACAGATTAGCAAACAGATAAAAGCCACTTTAGTTGTGCTATTCATGCAGCTCAGAGATATTAGAAAGATGACGGAGTGTTTTCATCCGCAGGAGACTGTGAAGGATAATTCTCTGCTCTTCATGCCAAACGTCTTGAAGGTGTATCTGGAAAACGGACAAACAAAGTCCTTTAAGTTTGACTGCAACACCTCCATTAAGGTATTTCAGCATTGCAATATTTACAAATTACTGCTGATGTACCATATCAGCAAAAATAACGGCTGTGCATACATTAAATATGGTGCAATAAAATATTATTGTAGCAAGCAAAATGTTTTTTTTTTAAGAAATTAATAATATTATTTATCAGGGATGCATTATAAAATAAAATGTACCACAGTTTCCACAAAAATATTGGGCGGCACAACTGTCTTCAACAAAATATGATAATAATCAGAAATGTTTGTTGAGCAGCAAATCAGCATATTCAAATGATTTCTGAAGATCATGTGACACTGAAGACTGGAGTAATGATGCTGAAAATACAGCTTTGATCACAGAAATAAATTAGATTTGAACAGATATTCACATAGAAGACAGCTATTTTAAATTGTAAAAATATTTCACAAATATTTTACTGTATTTTTGATCAAATAAATGCAGCCTTGGTGAGCCCCCCAAAAATCTTACAGAGCTCAAACCTTTAAACGTTAGCATATTTTATGCAATATTAATTTTAAAAAAGTAAACCAAACATATTTTTTGAAAACCGATAATTGACAAGTCTGATATTACGCAAATAGGCTATGCAAAATGTACAAATGTGTACACTTATGTACGAAAGCAAATATTAATTTCAAAATTAATTAATCTGACTTGCTTGTAATTTGATTGTTACATTTTAAAATGCTCATAATCGGATTACAGTTACTTTATGGATACTTTACATGACTACATATCCAAACAATAGCAGTGAATTATTCATAGTTTATTGATTCTCCATAATTCCTCTTTTTTTTCTTCTGTACTCCAGTCTGGGAAACACTGATGTAACGTGATATTTAATGCACTTCATGTTGTTGAAAACAAAGAATGGAATAGATATGGTACACAATACTCCCATTTAAATCTATGTGATAAACAATTAGTACTTCAAAAGTAATTAAAAAGTACTCAGAATAAATTACCTAAAATGAGTTATCTAATAGATTGTTACTTACTACAGTACAATTTTCATCATGTAGTCAGTAATGGACTACAATTTCCCAGTAATCTACCCAGTGCTGTGTATATATATATATAGATATATATAATGTAAAGTGCTTATTTATTTATTAAAACATTTCTAATGACGTTAGCACTATGTCACGTGTTGGTGGTGTTGAACATGAATAACAGAGATGCTCTTCTGTTTGAAAGGATGTTATTCTGACCCTGATCACTTTAAAAGTATATATTGTTTACAGTATAGTTGGTGTTAATGCAGTGAACAGTGAAGCAAAATGTTGTTTGTTGTCCAGCCCTACTTGGGATTAATATTCAAGGAATAGTTCACTCGAAAATGAAAACGTGCTGAAAATGTACTCACTGTCAGGTCATCCAAGATTAGGATGAGTTTGTTTCTTCATCAGATTTGGAGAAATGTAGCATTGCATCAGTGTCTCAGCAATGGATGCTCTGCAGTGAATGGGTGCCGTCAGAATGAGAGTCCAAACAGCTGATAAAAACATCACAATAATCCACAAGTAATCCACACCTCTCCAGTCCATCAGTTAAAGGGATACTTCACCCAAAATTAAAATTCTGTCATTAATTACTCACCCTCATGTCGTTCCAAACCCGTAAGACCTTCGTTTATCTTCGGAACATAAATTAAGATCTTTTGGAGAGTATCACATACGTAAACAACGTATGCTATTCTGTGTCAGCAGCACCGTACGCTGTTTACGCTTTGATCTGAACGAATTGTTGAATAAAGTCATTATTTTTGTTTTCTTTGCGCACAAAAAGTATTCTCGTAGCTTCGTAAAATTATGGTTGAGCCACTGATGTTACATGGATTATTTTAACGATCTCCTACTAGGTTTCTGAGCCTTGATCGTGTAAGGATCCTTGCTGTCTATAGGAGGGTCAGAGAGCTCTCGGAATGCATCAAAAAATATCTTAATTTGTGTTCCGAAGATGAACGGAGGTCTTACGGGTTTGGAACGACATGAGGGTGAGTCATTAATGACGAAATGAACTAACCCTTTAACATCTTGAGAAGAGAAAAAAATTGCTGCGTGTTTATAAGAAACAAATCCATCATCAAGACATTTTTAACTAAAATATGAGTCCATAATCCATAATAACGCTTCCTCCAGTGAAAAAGGGGTCTGGTCTGAATCAGGAGAGAAGTCTGCACAGATCAAGCACCGTTTACAAGCCAAAACAGTCCAGAACAGCGAAAACGCATAATCTGCTGTTGTCTCTCGCATCAAAATCCAGCCACATATTTGTTTAGAGCTGTTTTGGCTTGTAAACGCTGCTTGATCTGTGCAGATTTCTCTCCTGATTCACGTTATTATGGATTATGGACTGGTATTTTAGTTAAAAACGTCTTAATGCTGGATTTGTTTCAGCTTTTGTCTTCTCCAGATGTTAACTGATGGACTGGAGTGGTGTGGATTATTGTGATGTTTTTATCAGCTGTTTGGACTCTCATTCTGACGGCACCCATTCACTGCAGAGCATCCATTGCTGAGACACTGATGCAATGCTACATTTCTCCAAACCTGATGAAGAAACAAACTCATCCTGAGGTTGAATTCACTTCACTTCACGTGGTTCCAAACCTGTATGGAGTTGATTTTTGTTTTTTGTTTTTCTGTGGAACACACAAAAAAAAAGAATTTAGTCTTCATCCAGCTTTTTTCTGCGCAGTGACTGTCAAACTCTCTAAAGGACAAAAATGTAAGTAGTCCATATGCACTAACAGGCATTACAGACATTTATTTGACTTCTCAAGCACTTAAAATTGGTTAAAGATTAAATTTCAGTCTGTTGTCATATAACTAACTTCATACAAGTAGACTTGGAACATAGTCAGGGTTATTATAGTTAACTAAAACTAAAATTATAAATGTTTTTTGTACTTGAAATGAAATAAAAGAAGTGTTAACAGGAATAAAATATTTTTAAAATGATTTTATTTCAGCTAGTTGGATATTTCTTATTTTAATGTTGAATATTTCTTATTTTAATTTAATTTAACTTGATGTGCTAAAATAACTAGAGCTGAAATAAAAAAATACTAAACTATATAACAATAAAAAAAAACTAATAAAAATGACAAAGGCACAACAAAATTTACTAAATCTTGAACAAAAATTCAAATGAAAAATTAGAAAAATTAGAAAATAAGAAAATAAAAACAAAAAAATTAGAAAAACTAATAAAATGTAATGAAAATTAAAATGAAAACAGAAAATGCATTACTTTTTTTCTGGTGCTTTTGGTCTTTTATGGAGAGAAACCTTCACTGTACACTGAAAAAAAAAAACGTTTTTCACTCAGAAATTGCTAGTAAAGTCCACAAATAATTAAAATAAATTGGCAAGTAACACTGAATTAGATGTGAAATTCTGAAGTACACAAAAGACTGATAGTATTTTCTTGGAAAAAATGCACTCCAGTAATCTTTATTTTACAACTTTGACAAATATTTTTACAATTTTATGGACAGCAGAAGCTCAAATGTTCTTCCTAACCTTCTCAATTTGTGTTTCACCAAAGAAAGCAAATGATTGGGGTTTGATCTGCATGAGTGCGAGTCAAAAGTTTCTGGTGGCGCTTCCTTTAAATGAGAAGAAAAGATGAAAGGCGTTTGACTGTTGCGACGAGCGTTTGATTTCAGCGTGAAAGCTCTTGTGTCTTTACAGAAAGGAGTGGGGTCTGGCGCAGTTCCTGCCTCCAGCGGTTCTGTCCAGCATGAAAGAGAAGAACATCAAGAAAGCGCTCACACACATCCTGAAAACCAACCAGAACCTGGTGCCTCCTGGCAAAAAGGTGAAGAAACTTTCACAGCTTGATGTACATATGAAAAGTGGAATTACAATCGATCTTTTCAGCTGCCTTTGAAAATCCAGATTTCTCAATGCATAATATAATACGGTTTAGGATTTTCACAACAGCAGTGCCAGTGAAATTTCACGAGCTATCACAGCAAAGACTAAAACTGTATGTTGTTGAATATAACACTTTATTTAAACATTTTTGGCATATACAAGCATATATAAATAGACTTGTAGTTAAATATATACATTTTTTATTTTTATTGATATATATCGCTTGTATAAGCATATATAAATATTCCATTCTATTCTATTCTATTCTGTTCTATTCTATTAGTGCTGTCAAATGATTAATCGCAATTAATTGCATCCAAAATAAGTTTTTGTTTGCATAATATGTGTGTACTGTGTATATTTATTATGTATATATAAATACACACACATACATTATATATATATATAACTATAACAAGTTTGTTCTAATGTGTGTATATGCATGTTATTTTTAATTATATTTATATCTGCTTATATACAGTATCATACTGAATATGCTAAAAAATTAAATTAAATTAAAACTATGATTAAAATGTAATAAACCATCAGATATAATGTACTGCATTATATGTTATGTTATAGTGCATTGCACTTTAGTATTGTGATAAAGCATCTTGTGAGCACAGTCTGTCTTTGCAATTAAACCTATAGTTGAACTTGTTTTTCCCAGAGGCACATATTCAAAAAGCAGAAGAAAGAGTGCTCTATTTCTGTGATTTACACTTTCTGTTCACTAATTCCTGCTGGGATTTGTGCTGTGTTGAAGCTGACGGCGTTGCAGGCGAAGGTCCACTACCTGAAATATCTGAGTGATCTCCGGCTGTACGGAGGACAAGTGTTCAAGTCCACGCTGGTCGTAAGTGCACAGACACACATTCAGAGTCATTACATCAGCAGCTGAGACTTCCAATGCAGATCCAGGGTTTAAAGCTTCAGGTGTATTTCAGAATAAACTACGTCGATAAACTACATTTAAATTTCATAGCATATGAAGTACGTGATTTTGTTTTAGTTTTAGTTTTTATTTTTTTTAGTTTTGCTGCTATTTCTGTTTTTTTTAAGAAAATTATTTTTAAAAAATGTATTAAAAATTTTTTTAAATGTAAAATTATTTTTAAATTTAATTACATTTTCTTAGAAAATAGTTTCTAGCTTAAGTATATGTTTTTTTTAGTTTTTCTGTTATTTCTGTTTTGTAATGAAAATATGATTTCTAATAATTTTATTTTTGTTAAATATAAAACTAAACTAAACTACTAAGATTCACACTATATTTTCATTTTCTAACATACTATTTTTATTATGCTGTTCTGTTTTGCAAAGATAACTTGATTTCTAATGATTGTTTATGTTAAATAACATTATAAACAAATTAATATTCATTCACACTGTATTTTCATTTTCTAGCATGTGAGGTCATGATTTATTTTTTTTAGTTTCGCAGTTCTATTATTTTGTTTAGTAAAGATACATTTCTATTTCTAATGATTTATAATGATTTTCTTGTTAAAAAAACTATTAAATTATAAACAAATCAAAAATAATTCTACTGTATTTTCATTTTCTAGCATTATTTTTTTATATATATTTTCTATATAGATTTCTGTATGGTTTTTATTTATTTTAAGTTTTGCTGCTATTTCTGTTCAGTAAAGAGAACATTATTTCTAATGATTTTATTTAGTTAAAAAATACAAATGAAGAGTTCAGATGCAAAAGCCTCTAAGTGCCATCTGAAATTTTCTTCTAAAATGAGCATTTTTCTCAGGCTCCTATATTTATGTTCAGTTATTTCACTTTTAACGACAATGAACAGAACCTATTAATTGCCATTAAAGTTTAGTAACTGAACCCACACACGAGAGCCTGAGAAAAAATGCAAATTTTGGAAGAAAATTTAGAGGCTTAAAACACTTAGAGGCTTTTGCTTCTGAACTCTTCATATGCTATTTGTCATATTTTACTAAAGAAGTTGACTGATCAAGGATAAATATTTTTGGCTGAGCACTGCAAACATTATAGATTTCACATTTACATATACTCTATGATCAAATACAAAGAAATAATGAAAATGTATAGTTTTAGTACATTAGCTTCAGCTGCTGAAATCTGAAGGTGTTTGAAGCAGCTGTTTCACACCGCTGTATTTGTGATCTGACAGCAAGGAGAGAAACACACAGAGGTGACGCTGCTGGTGGGGCCGCGCTACGGCATCAGTCACGTCATCAACACCAAAACCAACCTGGTGGCGCTGCTGGCCGACTTCAGCCACGTCAACCGCATCGAAATGTACACCGAGGACGAAAGAAACGTGCGAGTGGAGCTTCATGTCCTGGATGTTAAGGTGCGATGGAGAAAAATATTATTTGTTCACAGAAAGCATTTGGTTTAATATTTTTCCATCTAATGCGATAAACATTCAAACATTTTGAGTGCATTACCACAGTTGAATTGCATAACAGTATTGAGGACGACATCCCTTTCATTTTCAAGATTCCACTTTTGCAATAATCTGCTGTTTTTCTTCTTTAAAAAGAGACCAACCTTAGGTTTGTATTCCAAAGTGTTCATAAATTACAACAATTTAAGTGTGGATAGTGCACTTTCATGCCTATTTTAATAAACGGGGGGTGACAGTTAAGGGGTTAATATGTTGTGTGTTTTAATAGACCGGTGACGACCGCACAGAGTAGCATTATAACATAACTTTCAAATGTATCTAGTATGATAAAACAGCGCTGCTTTACCCCACATACGCACGACCGGAAGCAGCGGAAGCGCTCGATTGTGGCATAATAAAAGCTCTGCTGCTTTACCCCACATACGCACGACCAGAAGGAGCGGAAGCGGTCGACTGTGGCATAATAAAAGCTCCGCTGCTTTACCCCACATACGCACGACCGGAAGCAGCGGAAGCGGTCGACTGTGGCATAATAAAAGCCCCGCTGCTTTACCCCACATACGCACGACCGGAAGCAGCGGAAGCGGTCGACTGTGGCATAATAAAAGCCCCGCTGCTTTCGAGCCGTGTGTCACGCTCGTTCAGCTCCTTGTTTCGCTTCGACGGCTTTCAGCCTCACTCTGCTTCATTCTACTACGTTAATAAATCATTAGCTCATCCATGAACATAATTTCTGCCCGAGTCCCGTCGGATTGCATTGGCTGTGGGGATGAAAACTCCCATGATTCCACACTCAGTCACGCCCGTCATCAAACTACATCTTTGTCTCTTTGTTTATTTTGAATACGCGCCCTCTAGCGGCGAAAATGACATATTCTGCCTTTAAGTCAGTATGCAATATGTTAAGTTTGCTACATTGCTTTGCGTGTGTGAACCAAAACAATATTGCATAGCAGATTATTTTGATTTATATGAACTATTTATTCACTATTTACCACATGTATTACTACAGTGTTAATGATGCATAACAATTCAACATCCCTTTATCCAATGCTTATATTGAAAATATGAATTAATAATTCATAGTTACAGACACTTACATTCTTAATTTTATAAACACGTTAATAAATGCAATAGAAAATATAAAACAACTATATTAAGTTTGCTTTATTGCTTTGCAAACATGGACTAAAAACTGCATTACATGACAGATTATTTTGATTATTAATATTAATAAATCATTGATAATTTAATACCATTTATTGACTATTTACCACATGCATTACACCAGTTGTATACAATATTAAAGACACATAACAGTTCAACATGCCTTTTATTTAATGCTTATTGTGAAAACGTGAATTAATAATTCATATTTACAGACATTTGAATGCTTCATTTTATAAAACCGATAGTTAAGTCAATAAATGCATATTGAAAATACAAATTATTGATAAATGAAAACTATTTATTGACTATTTACCATATGCATTTCACCAATTGTATACAATATAAAGAACAATTCAACATTCTTTTTATCCAATGCTTAATATGAAAACATGAATTAATAATTGATAGTTACTGACATTTGCACGTTTCATTTGGTAAAACAGATAATGAACTGTATTGCCTAGCAGATTTTGATTATTAATAAATTATTGATAAATACTATTTACTGACTGTTTAACACATGCATTACACCAGTTGTATATGACACATAGTTCAACATCCCTTTCATCCAGTGCTTATAAAGAAAATATGAATTAATAATTCGTAGTTACTGATATATGCATGCTTCATTTTATAAAACAGAAGTCAATACATGCAGTACATTAAGTTTGCTACATTGCAAGCGTGAACTTAAAAACTAAAAACTGTTCATATTAATGAATGTAACTATTTATTGAAAAACTGTTTTTGCAGATGCTACTGTTTTTTTTTTAAAGAGCAGTAAGTTGCTCAAGAACATTTGTTACTGTAATTTTACCACCACTAAGGGAGTTTTAGGATCACTAAAATAATTTAAACTGCACAACCTCCCATAGCTTACTGCTGTATTTACTGATTATTTATGCATTTCTTCTGCAAAATATTTCTTTCTGTAGCCCATCACACTTATAATGGAATCCAGTGATGCTATGAACCTGGCGTGTTTGACTGCTGGTTATTACAGGCTGCTGGTCGATTCACGGAGGTCCATCTTCAACATGGCGAACAACAGTAACACTGCAGGTAAGAGCATGCACATGAGCTAAACAATAAAACAATTAATTTGTCTGCTTGAAGTATTATTTATTTATTATTTAAGGCAATGGTAAATTAATTTAATATACTTTAAATTCATTTAAATCAAAAAGTTTAAGAATCCCCTTATTTAAATAGTTTTGTTGTGAATCTGATACTTTAATAACATGCTAACATTGGTGTCTTCTCCTTTTTTTTTTGTTTACACCTAAGGGCAAGACTCAAGGGTCAAGCACAACTACCAAGCAATCGACTGGAATTACGGTTCCTGCAGTGCATGTGATGAGCCCCACCCCGAATACGCCAACTGTGGGCGAAGAGATTTTGATATTTCCCCCACTGTCTCCGCAATGCACCAGTTGCAGCATCGCATGCATGGGGACGAGAAAGCTGAGCGGGCGAGCAGAGCAAGCCACATGCATCCTCAGCCCTACTTCAGTGTCCCAAAAGGCAAACCTCAAGAGTCGCCCAGAAGCGCCAAGGTGTCCTTTATATTCAGCAATCCTTCGCTGGACTCTGTGAACCCTCATAACTTGGGATACCAAAGACTGATGGAGGACATCCCAGAAGTGCTGGAGGAGCACCGGTACATGTACGCGCAACAGAAGGACTACAAGCCGCTGGAAGCATCACTGGAGGTCGACGGCTTCCAGTACGGTTCCCACATGGTCTACGGCGATGCTAAGATCTTCGGTACGACAGAAGGCATCGAGGAGCCTTTGCTGCATGATATCTGCTACGCCGAGACTACGGATGACGCCGAGGACGACGATGACATTAGTTGTGAGGAGGACATGTTGATGATGATGGGAGAGATGAAGGACAAGGCAAACTCTCTCCTATCGCTCTCGGAATCTAGCGACGACATTATAGACCTCACTTCGCTTCCGCCGCCACCAGAGGGTGATGACGAGGAGGACAGCGATGACCTGTTGCAGTCTCTAAACTTGGCGATAGCCGCTCCACCACCAGGGTTCAGGGATAGTTCGGATGAAGATGACCACCAAGAGCGAAAAGGCTTAAAAAACGACATCCCTGTGTCGCTGATCGATTCGGTTCCAACGCAAGTGGCCAGTGGGACCGAGGAAGTGTTCAATGACGCCGTTGTCTCCACACTACAAGCTCTGGAGGCCTTGGCGGCCTCTGAGGAACAGTCTAATCCACAATCGGACAATAGTTCAGGTTCTTACACTATTGTAACGTTTATTCATTGACGTTGACCTTCCAGCCATTCCTTTATTTTGGTTTTGCTTCTCCGTATTCCATTGTCTTCAATGCAAACCCCATGTATTCTGTGTGCATTTGTTTTATTAGAAATGTAATTGTGATCTCATTATGATTTGTGGTTCATTTTTGTTCATGTATTTCATTATTTATGTTCTTATTTGTTTCATTTCATAACATTCAACGTTTTGTACAAATAAACTATTTTAAAGTATACGTGTGTATGGTGTGATGGCTAAAATGTTTGTCTCTTTGTGACACACAGGTGTAGAAATATCTCGGTCCTTTAGCCCCGAGTCCTCTTCTGATTCTGGGAATGAAACAAATTCGTCTGAAATGACGGAGAGCTCAGAGCTGGCCGCAGCTCAGAAACTCTCCGAAAACTCTCTGAAAATGTTAGTAGCCACAGCCGAAGGGTACCAAACTCTAGCCGAAGAGGAGACTGAGTTTCGATTGGTGCCGTGTGAGGTCCGGGCGTCTCTAGACGACTCCCAGTCCGCCGCGGTTGTCAATCTCTGTTCGGACCACTTCGAGATGGAGCCAGAAACAATGGAAACCAAGTCGTTGACGGACTACTTCAACAAAATGCACAGGGACATGATGATGGGAATGCCGCAGGGGAAGATCGAGGAGCAAGATGGTGGGATGAAATCAAGCGCCCAAGCAGAAGCCCGTCAGATGAACATCACGGAATCAGAGGATCTTGTTGGGATGTACAACAATTTCAATGGACGAGATTCCCAGCGTTCAGGTCCCTTTGACTTGGAGAGGATGTCTTATGCGTTTCAAGAAAGCAATCAAAGATTGCATATGATTCTGAATAATAAATCTGACGAGCACATTTACTCTGAGGTGGTTGGTGATGGTGGTCCGTTGCATGCAGACAGGGTAACGCAAAAAGCCAGTTTGAAGGACTCGATAGACTTGAACACAAGTTCCCCCGCCAAAGAACAATTTATGATTGAACGAGCCCGGAATGAACATCAACAGAGCAAGGCAGCTTCATCCGAACAAGAAATGACACGGTTATACGAGTACCACTTGTCCAAAAGGATGTCGTCTTTACAGAGCGAGGGAATCCATTCCCTCCAGAGTTCCCAGTGTTCGTCCATCGATGCCGGCTGCAGTACGGGAAGCAGTAGCTGCGTGACGCCAATGGACTCTCCTCTGTGCACGGTTGATAGTGTCCATTTGCATGGAGAGTCCTCTCTGAAAGGTCTCGGATATCCAAATCAGAACGTAGATGGAACGTTTTTGCGGAAGCACCATGGACAGGCTGGCCAAGAGTCAGGCCGAGAGGGATGCCAAAGGTTGCCCAAGATCAGAGAAACTACAGGTACTGCAAGCTTGAAACTTTAACTTGTCAAATGTGATATTTAACTAACCTAATGATACCGTTATCTATCTGTTCATTTTTGCTATGTAGAAACTGTAAAGCTTGACCATGTGGAGTTAGAGACTCACATTATTGGTCAGCAGCTGAATCATTTAACATTTAGTTGGAGCTGGTGAGCAAGTTATGGATTTTTGTAGCCCTCGTCTTGATTCAAACTGAAGCTAACCTAATTTGACTAATTGTCCCACATAGTGTTGGGGAAACTACCTTAAAACTAGGCTTTCAAGCTGTAAGCTGATGATACAGTGTTTGTAAAAAAAGTATTCACACCCCTTGGCTATACATTTTTCTACAACATGGAATTAGGGATTTATTTGGCTTTGATCAAATAAAACAATATCCTTTCATATCAAAGTGAAACCTATTTCTATGGAAACATGCATTACAGTTATTAAAGGGGTCCTATTATGCTTTTTCACTTTTTCAACTTTAGTTAGTCTGTAATGTTGCTGTTTGAGCATAAAAAATATCTCAAAAGTCCACTTCAAAAGGAGATATTTTATTTAACAGAAATCAATTTTCAAAAACTACAACAAACGACTCGTTTGGACTACAACGCATATTTTCCGGGATTTGTGATTTCACAAATATAGACGAATGGAATGAGACCTGGTTGAGCTGCACTAGAGAAGGCAACGAGTGTTATCACTACGTCGGAGACATGCTAGCTTTCCCAAGGCAGACAAACTTAGAGTGGTTACAATCATCTGGGTTTAAATCGTGCTCAAATTGATTTGATATTGACGCAAAATTTACACTGAAGCTCGCAGGTGCCTGTGATAAGGGGCATGACATTTCCCGACCAGGCGCCAAGTTCTGCCAATCACAACACACACTGGCCCAGCTAACCAATCACAGCACATTTCGTATTTCAGAAGGCGGGCCTTCATTTGCTACAGGAACTATTCGAGCCGTTGATGCCAGACTGGGACGAGAGGTGTTGTAATGTAAAATATGTGAAAAATAATGTGTTTTTCGAACAACCTAGTATGAGAGCCTGTTCTAGTACACCCCCAAAACAAAATCAAGACTTTGTAAAAGAGCATAATAGGACCCCTTTAAACAATTATTTGCACAAGTATTCACCCCCCACCCAGTAAATGTCAGGATTTAGTAGTTTCACCTTGAGTCTGTTACAGTTTAGTTCATAGTTTAACTTCAAATCTGCATGAAGATGTTTTTTCCTGCCAATCATCTTCGCAGAAATGCTTAGGCTCAGTCAGGTTACATTAAGGCTATGCAACGTTAATTCTCTGGGGTCAGGTCTAGGTCAAGTTGCACCGGCTCTTTTAGGTTATTTTTTTAAATTGAAATGTATATCCTCCTGAGACCCAGCTATGGAGTTTTTGCCTCTGTAGTGGACATTATATTTGAGTGAATTTCTCTGAGACCTCACACATCACAGTTGTAAGTCTGGATGTCCTGTACAGAGCACATTCAGGGCTTTCCAGAGATACCAAATGATTGGATGTTTCCCCGAGAACACTCCCTCTCCTTGGTTTTTAAAAATGGCTGACACTAATTTAGTGATAAAAATGTACATCCTTATGGAAATATGATAATATTTTGTAATTATAATTTAAATCTGACTAATTTTCTAATTGTTTGTCATAAATCAACATCTCAGGAAAATGTTATGGGGTTTCAAATCAAAATATGAGCTTCTGTTATGAAACAGGACATAATTAGAAGCTAAGTCTTAGGCGAAGTCTGTACTTTGTTTGCACCATTTTTTTTATAGAGACAGAGCATAGCTAGTAGGTGGTCAGCTCTTCTTAAAGTAATGCATAGTCACATAATATGATTCTCAGTGATCCAATAGCGGCCTTTCATATTAGTGAGAAGTTGTTGTAATGCTGTAAGTTTCAGTTTATCCTTAATTCTAACTTCTGCGTAACTAATGGTAAAAATAAATTTCCACTGAAATATAATACTACTTAATCATAAAACTGTATTTGAAATGAATAAGAATCAATAAATAAACACTTACATTACATTACATTACACTTACATAAATTACATTATTTTTTTATATCAGGTTTGTGATGAAGAGCCATTAAAAAGAGATTTATTCAAATAATGTTTTCTCTCTTGAAATGTAAACATGTCTAAATGTCAATGTTATCATATACTGTATGTCTAAAGAATTGAAGTTTGTCAGGTAAAACAAGAGCTTTTCCGTATTCAAGAGCGACCGTTACTCCTGGTTGGAGGCTTCCGTAACTATTGTTTATGAATAGTTGTTTCAACTAAATTAAAAGGTGCAATGGAAAAACATTTAGTAGTGCATACAGTAAGTTGTAACTTAGTACTCCTTTGTCAAAACTAGGGTAAGTTGTTACTTGCACCCAGATGGTGCAACTGGCCCCTAAACTCTTGACCACTAAAGGACATAAATGTTGTTGTTTTGCTGGAAATCTGATTCTCCTTGAGTTCCAGGTGTCTTGCTGACTCCTATATTTTGCTGCATTCATTTGGCCCTCCAGCCTCAAAACCTTCAAAAGATCCTCACAGCATGATTCACTGTGGAGATGGTGTCTTTCTGAGTATACATTAAAATGTTGTTTAGTCTGATAGGTTAGCCTTCTGGCATATCTGTATCCGAGATATTGCATGACGTTTTTTAACAGTAGCTCCTCTTCAGCGGCAGCGGCAGTTGTTATTTGCACAGTCTGGAGCTTGTAACATTGGTCTCTTGGTGTCCTCCCTCATCCGTCTCCTTGCACGATGACGCACCGTTTGAGGACGCCCTGCTCTTGGTGCATTTACTGCTGTGTCATATTTTCCCATTTCTTAATTATTGATTTAACTGCTACTCCAAGGGAAGCTCAATGACATGGAAATCCCTGCCTGGTGCTTTTCAATTACTGTTTCATAGAGCTGCATGTTTTTTTTCTGCATGGTCTTCCACAGTGCTGACTCATTTATGCTACAATCAATGGAAAGTCCTTGAGTACACAAAAGCTATTTAACTAGTTATGTGACGTACAATAAAAAGGTTGCACCAGTGATGAATTCTGACGTTATATTAAATAGGGGTGAATACTTATGCCAACCAATTATAAAAGGGGATGAATACTTATGCTAATTATTGTAGATTACTTACATAGAGATGTATTTTCACTTTTTTTCTGTTGACCAGATTTTGTACTTTGTGATTCAATGCAGTAAAACAACAAAAATGAAAAAGTCCAAGGAGAGGTCAATACTATTTATAAGCATTGTAATTTAACTTAAAGTAGATAAACTGCAGTTAAAGGGTAGTTCAGCAAAAAGTAAAATGATCATTTATTCATCTGTCGTCAAAAAAGATACTTTCAAGAATGTTGGTAACCAAACCGTCCCTTCAGCTACCGTTTTAAAAATGTAGTTAGCTACACTGTTAGTTATGGGTGCAGTGTTTTGTGTTGTGAAAATAGCTGTGCAAATGAATTAAATTGATGTTTATTATTGATTAAAAGTGAAAATATTCATGCTTTGGAATCAGTGTGTGCTTTACTTCTGCAAAAAAAAAAAGAGTCAGATTGCATTTCTATACAGTACCATTAGTTGCACAGAAATGGACCACTTCACCTTCAAATCAGGAATTACTATTTTGCAGATTTTAAGTTTTAGGATGCAATTAGAATTTCCTGATTTGGAACATTAAGCCTTGTGTAGAACGTTTCCGAAGTATCCTGCCCAAGCTTATCGTTGACGTCATTCATTTCAGTCATTACCTTATCATGGCGAATCAGGATGAGCAGGAACTTTGAGGGGATTTCATGAAATAATGAGACAGAATTCTGGCCGACTAATTTATCCCTCTCTTTTTCCTCCCCCAGTGTAGCACGCTGCAGATGGAGATAAAACGGAAGAATCGTCGTCTTCTCTCACGATATGTCCATATTCATCCATAGCACAGTTTCCTATGTGCCAAACCAGAAGTGATCGGAGGTCTTGAATGCTTCCCTGTTTATTCTTGCACTTGGCCTCAAATGACCCCCGCTCTGGTTGCCTCAGGGAGGCAGAAAAGGAATCTTAATAAGACAACTATTGGCTCAGGGAGCACTTTTTATGGAAACTGGTCATAATCACCAAATCAACCCTTGAAAGAGCTGATTACAACACTGTCATTCCCAAAGTCAACATGAAACTCAAAACCCATTTGGCTTCCATAATGTGACATATTGTATCCGCCAGAACTGGATTGTGAAAAGTAGGCATTTTGTGCCAGAATGGTTGGAGGGAAGGAGTTGGAATGACACAGATGTGCATTAAAAAAAGTAAATGGGATAAAATTTTGATTTCTTGTTGACTTTAATCTTCTGAAATGGAAGCGAATGACAGATGGTTTGACATTACAGAAGTCAGCACAGAAAACAAGTTTAAGACAACAAGCATTGGAACAAGGATTCCTTTGGACGACACACAATCCAGGCATAAGAACAGTGCATTGCTCTGAGAAATTCTAGCACTGGTCACTTAATATGTCTCTTTTAGCCACATTCTCTAAGACTGCATGTGCGGGGCTTTTATGCTCTGAGGATTTTTGGTTAAGCAGCAAAAGGACATTTCGAAGTGCTAGTTGGAGCGATTTGGGAAGTCACTTTATTTACTTTGCGTGGAGGCTTTGGAAAGTTATTTTGATGATCAAAGCAAAACTACATTTGCATTCGGTACGCTGTTATTTGGTTGCGGCAATGGCCATATGTTGAAAATCACTGCTTTTATTTAGCCATAGTAAAGCCATATGATATCATGCATACTGTACGTTTGTCATGAAGATTGAGATAATCCGGCCATTGCGATCCACTGTGATAACAGTGCTTGTGTATATTTTGTGTAATATGTAAAATGAAAAGGAAGTATTCTACAATACATAGAATTTTTAAAAGACAATATATATCACAGCACCTGATAGACGCATCCGTTTTGTTCCATGTGTTTATTTTAGTCTTCATACCAGAAGAGCTTCACATTCAAAAATAAGATAAATTTAGGCCACTATATGATCTGTAAACTGTAATTCTGTTCTCAACTTGCACCGTTTCATTTGCTGTTCTTATTTGACTGGCTAATGCATACATTTACTTAATTTGAAGTCAACATGAAGCATCGTTCTCAATCCATTTGAACTACTGTCATCTGATGTATTTCCCAGTGTAATGTATTCAAGAAAAGTGTAGAACAGTATTTTATACATGATTTGCTGGAGAGAGTGGTTGATAAATCGTTTTTGAGGTGGAGTAAGTTACCACATTTTGCTGAAATATTATAATTTTTTTATTATTATTATTTATTTAGAATAACCTGCACTTAAGAATTGTTCACAGTAAGACCAGGAACGTAATTTAAGAAAGTAAATATGTCCATTTTTATTTCATGTTGACTTTAAATAATAATCGTAATGTATTTTATTTGAATCATCTTCATTAAATATTTCAGCTTGAAAACTGTGATCTCGTGCTGTCTTTCTTTTCTTAGTGAGTCATTTTATTTCCTGTCTTATGCCAGTAATTAATTTATAAATAGGATGTGAATTAATTTTTTTTTTAAATATTCTTCCTCTTTCTTTTCTCAAAATTTTCGTCCTCTATTTTTGTGCTGAAGAAGCAACTGTTGTGTTGGACAGAGAGAATATTTTTAATCATTTCAAAATTGAAGTGCTTCACTTTTTCTGGTTTTGCTTTCATTTATTAGGAAATCATAGCAGAACTTGAGCAAACCCCTCACATTGTTTTGCTTAATCTCTAGTGCAGAAACTTGTCCCTTGAGATAAAGGATGAAAGTAATGTTGTTCCTCTTTATGGTGGTGTTTGAAGGCGGACTTAACCATTAGGCAAAGGTAGGCGACCACCTTGGGCCCCCAAAAGCCAAGGGCCCCCTAAAATGCTTTTTATATGCAAAATACACGTTCAGTGCGGACGCACAAGAGGTTGCTGTGGTGTTCATTACCACGACAACCATCTGTGCGTCCGCGTTGAACGTGCTTTTTAGCAAAAGTAGGGCGATGTAGAAAATGGGGACGGAATCCTGGAATCTATTCATAAAAATGGAATTTACTGTGTAAAGCGCAATTAGAATTAGACAGCCTTGCGTTGTGTAGACAATTGCATAGTGAAAATTACCCCAATGCACCACCTAGTGTCCAACCTACTCTAATACTATTATAACCTGTTTAAATGTGAACAAGGGATTTACAACATTAAAGAAATCCTTTATTTATAACATGTACATGAAAAATCTAAAAGATTAGACACAACTATGGGACACGGTCGTGCAGCAGCGAGCAACAGTGAAAGGAACCTCAAGGTTGTAAATGTGTGAAATTGTATAGGGCCCCATTCCTGTATTTTGCCTGGGGCCCCCAAATCGCTAAATCCACCCCTGGGTGTTTCAGTGACAAAATTGTTCTAATAACATATAATTCATCCATCATAAAAATGTAAGATAACAATGCTGATAGGTAGTAGTTTGGTAATATATTCCCTTTGCAGAATTACAAGGGAAAATATTCAGAACAACTTTGTTTGCAAGGGGAAGTTATGTTTAAATATACCCACTCTCACTTTTGTTTGAAATTTTTTTGTGGTTTAACATTGGTCAATAACACCTGTTCTTCAAGTAGCACAGGGTGTACAACTTGACAAACCAGCAAAAGTACTGAACAACAAGTCACGAATGTCAGAAAAGAACCACAGGTTTGATGAAGATGGTGAGTAATTGAATGTTTATTTCATTTACCGTATTCAGCTCTCTCATATAGTCATCGTGTCTCAAACAAAGATGCTCTGAGGTAATTACAGCAAGTGCATTTTTCTTAATATGCAGCTAATATATTCATAAAATGTTAATTTATTTCCTGAATGTTTGAAAATTTGTTATTTTCAGATATTTAAAACTGTGCCAGAAATATCAGCTAAACCAAAATCTCTCTCTTTTTTTTTTTTTTTTACATTTCGTGCACTGATTTGGGGGAAAATAAATGTTGTGGAGTTACTGTAAACATGTAAAATGTGTTATACAGGGTTACGTAAAGATCTGTGGGCAAAACACATTTACTCATTTATCAAGTTGATGCCATTAAATCTGAATCCAGCTAAATGTAATTTAACACAGATGAAGCTGTGTTATGATGAAGAATATCATCATAATAATTATCCATTGCTATAGCTCACAAAAAAAAAAAACATACATCATACACTCTTGGTACCTTTTCAAAACGTAATATGTACCATTTAGGTACAAATATCCACAATTTAGGGGTACATAAGACACACATGTATATATTTTTGAAAGAGTGCCTCCCTAGTGACAGCTATTTGCCTTTTTTCTGAGAGTGCATAAATGAGTGCATAAGTTTGTGAATGACAATTACTGTATGTAGACTCATGAGTCTATTGTTTTATCATTATTCTAGATTTTAACACACACTATCTTCCTCTTTTAGATGACAGAGAAGACATTCATCATCTTTGCGGGTCTCATCTCTTTGTTGGATGCAGGCGAGTGGTACCCCAAAAGTCTGAAGTGTGACGTTTCTCTGGCTAGTAACGGGAGCGAGGTCACAGTCAACTGCACTGAACGAGAACTAACAGAAATTCCTTTGGGAATCCCAACGAATACCACCAACCTGACCCTAACGATCAACCACATACCCCATATTACGAATGATTCATTTCACAAACTGCAGAACATCACTGAGATCGACCTGCGCTGCAACTGCGTACCAATCAAGGTCGGGCCCAAAGACCGCGTCTGCACCCAGAGCGTGACGATTGACAACGGCACCTTCTGGAAGCTAAAGAACCTCAAGTCGCTTTATTTGGATGGTAACCAGCTGTCCAGCATACCCAAAGGCCTTCCTCCCAACATAGTGCTTCTGAGTCTCGAGGTCAATAGTATTTATTCAATCCTTAAGGAGAATCTGACAGAACTGACGAATATCCAAACACTGTATCTCGGCCAGAACTGCTACTTCCGGAACCCATGCAACACATCATATTACATTGAAAAGGATGCGTTTGTGCAGCTTGACAAGATGAATTTGCTTTCTCTGAAGTCTAACAACTTGTCTTACATCCCCCACCAACTACCATCCAGCCTCAAAGAGCTGTACCTGTACAACAACAATATTCAGACAATAACAGAGATGGACTTTCACAACCTGACAGAGCTGGAGATACTGGACTTGAGTGGGAATTGTCCACGTTGTTATAATGCACCTTTTCCCTGCGTTCCATGCCCAAATAATGCTCCCCTTCAGATACATCCAAACTCCTTCAAGACCCTGAAGAACCTAAAGACTCTACGGCTTCATAGTAATTCTTTAACACACATCCCTTCAGAGTGGTTTCAAAATCTGACTCAACTTAGTCTTCTAGACCTCTCGAGCAACTTTTTGGCTAAGGAGATAACATGCACCTCCTTTCCTTCGTGGTTGCCTAATCTGGAAGAGTTGGATCTGTCTTTCAATTACGAGCTCCAGGTGTATCCTACATCCCTCAACCTTTCAAGATCATTCCATCACCTTAAATCTCTGAAGGTCCTAAGAATCAGAGGGTATGTGTTTCAAGAACTCAAGCAGGAAGACATCCAACCGTTGGCTAATTTGAACAAACTGGAGCTCATTGATCTCGGCACAAACTTCATAAAGATAGCACATCTCAGCGTCCTGAGGAACCTGAAAAGCTTCAAAATCATCAACTTGTCCGACAACAAAATCTCAATGCCTTCTCAAGGAGAAACTTTGCTTTCTAACCACAGAGAAAACCATTATAGTTCTCCAATGTCGCAAGGTGCACAGTACCACAATGGAGAAGTGAAGGATATGCACTATTTCCTTTATGACGAATATGCACGCAGCTGCAAATACAAAGACAAGGAACTCTGGATTTCAAGTCCTTTCAACAACGAATGTAGCTCCTTTGGAAAAACATTGGATATTAGTAGGAATAACATATTTTTCCTTCATTCTAGATTTTTGGATCTTGATGAGCTGAATTGTCTGAATCTCTCTGGGAACGCCATGAGCCAGAGTTTGAACGGTTCTGAGTTTGTCCAGTTGAAGAATTTACAATATCTAGACTTTTCAGACAATCGTCTGGATTTGATGTTCTCTTCAGCATTTCAGGAACTAAGCAGCCTGGTGGTTCTGGATATCAGCCGTAACAGCCATTACTTCGTGGCTGAGGGTTTGACTCACATGCTGAATTTTACAAAGAACCTGGGTAAGCTGAGCAAATTAATCATGAACGATAATCAAATCTCGACATCTACCAACACCGAAATGGAGAGTTTTTCTCTGGAGCATTTGGAGTTTAAAGGCAACCGTCTTGATATGTTGTGGAGAGACGGAGACACGAGGTATGCCAACTACTTTAAGAAACTTTTGGCCTTGAAGTCTCTTGATATCTCTCGCAACAACCTGAACTTCATCCCGCTAGAAGTTTTTGAAGGTCTTCCAGACACCCTCACAGAGCTGTACATTACTAACAACCGGTTAAAGTCATTTCATTGGGAGGGCCTTGTGAACCTTAAAAACCTAAAACTGTTAGACCTCAGTGGGAATCACCTGACGGATGTTCCTGCATGCTTGTCTAACTATACAAAATCAATCGAAACTCTGGTTCTACACAAGAACAACATTGTAAAACTGACTCCCAATTTTCTCAAGGATGCATTCAGCCTCAAGGTCCTGGACCTCAGTTACAATCGCATCCAGTTCATCGATGAGTCGAGTTTCCCGGGAAATGTCATAGACCAGCTGCAGACCCTTTACTTGAACAACAACCGGTTTGTGTGCTCCTGCAATGCCACGTGGTTTGTCCGATGGATCAACCGGACGTCCGTGAACATCCCACGCCTGGCAACAGATGTCACCTGCGCTTCACCAAGTGCCCAAAAAGGTCAAAGTGTGATTTTCCTCAACATCCAGGCCTGCCAACACAATTCCCTATCCATCATCCTCTGCATTTTACTGACCTCTGTGATTCTAAGCATCCTCACGCTCACCATCTCCAGCCATCTCTTTCTTTGGGATGTTTGGTACATCTACCACTTCTGCTTGGCCAAACTCAAGGGATACCGTCGGCTTTCCTCCAACAGCTCAGTCTACGATGCCTTTGTTGTCTACGATATGACTGATCCAGCCGTTCATGAGTGGGTCATGCAAGAGCTTCGCGTTCACCTGGAAGACAAGGGTGACCCAGGGATGCAACTCTGTTTGGAAGAGCGGGATTGGGTTCCTGGATGTCCCCTCATTGAAAACCTTTCCCAAAGCATACAGTTGAGTAAACGCACTGTTTTCATTCTGACCGGACGATACATCAGGAGCGGCAGCTTCAGGACAGCATTTTATTTGGCCCACCAGCGACTCATGGATGAAAGGAATGATGTTATCGTACTGATATTCTTGGAGAAAATGCCTTGTCATTCCAAGTACCTCAAACTGAGAAAGAGGTTGTATAAAAAATCAGTTCTCGAGTGGCCGAGGAACCCTCAAGCGCAGAGGTACTTCTGGTTCAGTCTCAGAAGTGTCATGGCAACTGAGAGTCAGCAATACAATAAACTCTTCCAGGAAACTCTGTGATCGGGACACACTCCATGGACTCGCTAACACATCTGAAGCTTTAAAGCTGTATTTCTGCATTTGAAAGCTTCTTGGGTAGCTGACACATATTTGGAAAGTTGACTTGCAGTCCTGCAGTGTAACATATTGTGCTTCAATTAAAACAGCATTTTGCTTATTCTTTTATTATGTATGCCGATTTTATGACCATAAAAATGTTACTGTTATTATTATTATTATTATTATTATACATACTCATAGCAGTGTTATTTTATTATCATTGCGATACTATTATATTCTACTAATACTTTGAGTTGGCTTTTATTTTTGTTCTTTTTTTATTTTAATTTTAAAGTTTTATTAATTTTGTCTGTTTTTGTCTTTTTTTTTAAACGTGTCTATATAGTTTTTAATTTATTTCAGTTTTAGTTTTTTTAGTACAATTTTAGTATCATATTAAACTAAATGAAATAAAAAAATAAGATTTTAATTAAGCTTGTAAAATATTTCTAAAATATAATGGCTTAATTATAAAAATTTTAATTAAGCTTTTTAATTATTAACATTTTTTTAATATTTTACTTTATTTCTGTTTAAGTTTATTTTACCAGTTTATTTTTGTAAAGGTTTTAGTGAACTATAAAAACCCTGATTCATAGGTTTTATGTAGTAACAGTTTTATGCTAATTTAAGTAATTTTATGCTTACTGTAAATCCTTACAGTCATATCACCAATCAGGATGCTAATCAGGTTTTTGTTGTTGTTGTTTCAATGTTGGTTTTAAATGCCCAGGTCAAATTTTTGTTGTCTTTAATTACAGTTAAATAGGTTTTTGTTCAATTCTGTCTAAAATTCCAGCATCATATTTTGGAATATTTCTGTTTTTCTGGAAGAATGGATTTTCAAATCATGCTAACAAATCAATGTACAGTATTAAGTATATTTCAGTTTATTAAAAAATTAAACGCTGTCTGCTTTTCCCATGGTTTCCAAAGACGTGTTACCCAGGGTCCTCGTGGGACCGGAATGAAAGTGATTAAAATAGAAAACCACAGCAGCGTGTCATTGCCATAAATATGAGGTAACGAAACAAAAACTGTATATTCTTAAATATATATATATATATATATATATATATATATATATATATATATATATATATACTTCCGTACCCACTGTATATACATAAGTAGCCTTAATCTATGGGTAAACTACATTCACCTCTCTATCATGTCACAAAAACATACAGAGAATATATGTACATGTGTTAATGAAGGTAAAAATGTTATACAGTGCCGTAAATAATAAGAATTTACTTAAATTTACTTAAAATATAATTAATTTTAAAATAATTTTAATGCATTAATTTTGCTTTTCAATGCACCCTATAATGCACTGAATGATCCCATAAATAGTTGCAAGCAGTTTTAAAGGGGTCGTATGATGCTGCTAAAAAGAACATTATTTGGTGTAATGAAATGTGTTTATGCCTTTTAAGGTTCAAAAACACATTATTTTCCACATACTGTACATTATTGTTTCTCCTCTATGACCCGCCTTTCTGAAACGTGTCGATTTTTACAAAGCTCATCGGTCTGAAAAGCGAGGTGTGCTCTGATTGGCCAGCTATCCAGTGCGTTGTGATTGGCCGAATACCTCAAGCGTGTGACGGAAATGTTACGCCCCTCACCATACTGTGATGCCCTGTCATAACATAAAACCATGTCTGCATTTGTGATCGGAGAAATGACAAACAACAAGCGCTACTCTATACTCTCTAAAAAACTCGCGTTTGAATTGTCAGTGGCAAATTCTTTAAATATAAAAAACATACTTACAGACTGTGAGTCAGAACAGCCGGCATTGTAGTCTACTCTCCCAGGATCAGGAAACAGTCCTCCATAAAATGTGCTGCACACATCTGAATATTTGGGTTAAACTGTTCTGGAACAGTGTTGTAAATACAACTTAACCACTGATTTCTAGTTGTGTCCTCTTTTGGAAGGCCAAACAAAGTAGTTTCGCTTTCACAGCGAAAAAGTGTCACACACCGCGGCCTTGAGTGCGCGGAGGCCAGAGGCCTTGAGTGAGCCGCGGTCTAGAGTGAGCGGAGGCCAGTTTGAGTGAGCAGAGGCCGGTGAGCTTGAGAACGGCGCGGCCGGCAGGCTTGCGGCAACCACATGTGACAACCCCGGGCTGGACTCAGCGACCAGCACGGATCAGCTCCAGGCATGACGAAGCGAATTTCGTCCTCTTTTGGAAGACCCAACCAAGAAGT